CCCCAGACACTACAACAACGACGGCTGTCACCACCACCACCACCCCAGCCACTACAACAACGACGGCTGCCACCACCACAGCCGTCCCAGCCACTACAACAACGACGGCCTCCACCACCTCCACAGCCCCAACCACTACAACAACAACGGCTGCCACCACCATCACAGCCCCAGCAACTACAACAACAACAGCAGCCGCAACAACGACGACGGTTGCCACCACCACAGCAGCCACCACAATCATCTGTGTTGGTGGCTGCCCAGCCACTACAACAACGGCTGCCACCACCACCACAGCAGCCACCACCACCACATCCCCAACCACAACAAAACTGACGGCAGCCACCACTTCCACATCCACAGCCAGTACAACAACGACAGCTGCCACCACGACCACCACAGCAGCCACAACAACAACGACGGTTGCTACCACCACCACATCAGCCACCACCACCACATCCCCAGTCACTACAACAATGACGGCTGCCACCACCACCACGTCCCCAGCCACTACAATGACGACAGCCACTACCAACACAGCCCCAGCGACCACAATAGCAACGGCTGCCACCACCACCACAGCTGCTACTACAATCACAGCTGCCACCACCACAAGAATGACGGCTTCAACCACCACCACCACCACAGCCCCCACCACAATCACAGGTGCCACCACCACAACAACGACAGCTTCAACCACCACTACCACATCCCCCACGACAATCACAGGTGCCACCACCACAAAAACGACGGCTTCAACCACCACCACCACCACCACAGCCCCAGCCACAACTACGGCTTCCACCACCACCTCAGCCCCGACCTCCACCTCAGCCCCGACCTTCACCACCCCCATATTTGTTGAATTCAGATCCATTCAAAGCAATTTTACAACAGACTTGTTGAATTCATTATCTGAAGCTTTTAAAACGCGAGCTGCATCTATAAAGGCACAGGTAAGTGTTTTACTTTGTGGAAAGTAGCATGAACGTTGTGTCTAAAGAACAGCTATTAAAGTACTAAATGCTCAGAATTTCACTGAATTACAGCAGGAATAAGTCAACTATAGAATCTTTGCTTGCACTTGATGCATGCTCAATCATCCAGGTAAGTAAATCGCCAAAGGTTGATTCTCTTCATCTGGATGAAGCGTTTTGTGGCAGAAACGTTTCATCAGTCATCCAAAACGCTACGTCCAGATGAACAGAATCAACTTATGGAGATTTACTTTCACTGTTAAAAACTTTGGAACACTTTGTCCCAAGATTTACACATGTGCTTTTGAGCTATTGATCCGCAGTCTTTTGTACTTGTGGCAAAGCACTTTAAGTCAGTATTATTGCTGGATGTTTATTTTTTTCTCAAAGGAGACAAGCTCTTAAGATGTTGGTTCTCACTTCATATTTGAACAAACCTTTTCACTTTAACAAATACAGATAAAGACTCTCTTTCTTTCACTTGTCTACTGTCTTTCTCATCTCCAACTCATACATTGAACCTGACTTTACAGGACATATTCAAGACAAAAAGCACTACATTTCTCTCACTAGAAGATGGATAATATACTTATGATAAAATTGCATAAAGTAATTAAACTGCATCAATTTAAAATCTGTGAAAGTTTTCCCAGTTTTACCCAGTTTTTTTAGTTAGTGAGTTATCCCTGGAGCAGGATGGTTTTGAGCTTGAATTTTAAGAAAATTCTCCTTTGTGTCTGCAGATTGAACCTCCTTACAGATTGGCGTTCCCTTCTTCTTTTGTCTTCTTGAATGTTGTGAGCTTCAGGTGATTTCAGTATTTTGACATATAATGTTAAGAGCACTCACCTAAAGCCCTAAATATTCCAATCTATAATTTTTGTCTCTGCATTTACAGGCAAGGGTCAGTCATCAACACGATGGAACTTCGGTTTGTAAACACATCTGTTCCAAACAAAGCTGAGATTAGAAATGTTTTGAACAGTACAGCCTCAAACGTTACAGGCTTTGACATTGAAAGGGATTCCATCCTTGTCAATGACACAGGTGAGTAATCATAGCCGTTAGGTTTGATCAAAAAGTCTCAAATGTTTTAGAGTGACTTGGTTAAAAATGTTTTGTACATTTTTTCTACCACAGCTGCTGCATCAACTACTACAACTGTTGTTCCAACAACTACACCTAGTGCAACAACTACTACATCAACTACTAAAAGTATTGTAACAACATCTACAACTACTGCAACATCTACTACATCTACTGCAACTACAGCTTCAAGTGGAGTATGCCACAAGATTAATTCCAGCACTGTTTTCCCCCTGGTGCTGCTGTTATGGCTTCTATTAAGCCAGCAATAGCATCTGTGCTGGTTTTCATTTGAAAGACAAGCAGCAGATGATCTCTTTCACTGCAGCTCTTTATTTATTGGACACATCGGAAAGAGTAGAATTGCTATTTTTTCAATATGAAAATATTTCTTGGTGGGAATGGCCCTGTAGTGAAAAGAATGATACAGACTTCTTTTATGCATGCGGTTAATTGAATCATGAATAGAAAAATTGAACTAACAACACAAAGGCAAAAGATAAAACAAAATGGGTGCTTTATCTTAGAGGCTTAGAAGTTTATGCTGCTCAGTTTAATAAAATTAAAGTTTATTTATATGGCACCAAACCACACTAAAAGTCACCTCGAGGTGCTTTAAATTAAGTTAGGGTAAAGACCCTACAAAGACCCTCTTGCTTTTAAGTGTGTCTCTGTCTACATGTCTGTTAACTGTTCCTCTTTTATATAGAAAAAGACTAAACATTAAATATATATAGAAACAACTTCTTGACTTTGTAACAAAATTATCTGCAACAGCTCTTCTTACACTTTTTAAATGCTTGTAAATTAAAGGTCTCAGGTTTCCCTTAATATAGAGCATACACAGTATATATATCACAAAAAATTTATAATAAAGTGTAAAGAGTGGGTCTACGTGTGGTCCCCCCCCCCTCAAATAAAAAGCACTGGCACTTTTCTTATTTATATGAATTGTATGTTTATAAAAAGATATATATTTATATTTTTATTCTGTGAAGTGTATTTTAATTTTTACATTTTCTGTAAGAAAGTCACAATAACCAGAATATAGAATGTATAAGAAATTTACACTGTCTCCTGTGATGTTTTGCTGTTTGAGTAGGTAAAGATAAGGTTGAAATAACCTAAAGGTATACAATTTAGATCCCTCACCCAGGACCAGGGTGAGGGACCAGGCAAAGAGCGATTCAGAAGACCCTTATGAAGAGAACATCGAGGGAACAGTTTACCCTGCCCGGGATAGGGTTACCGCGGCCTCGCCCTGGAGCCAGGCCTGGGGAGGGTACCCGAGGGCGAGTGTCTGGTGGCCGGGCCTTAGTCCATGGGG